TTCTCCAAGATGATTGTAAACTACATAAACTGCAAACATACTGATAAAATAAAAAATTTAAAAGTTATGAGTGTATTAGTTTACTTGGGTTGCCAAAACAATATCACAGATTGGGTGATTTATATGAAAGAAATTTACTCAGATTCTGGAGTAAATTTCTGTAGTAATGCTTGGAAGTGCAAATGGATGGTGTGAGTAAAGTACGTTCTATTGTGAGTCCCGTTCCCTGGGTGTGTTGCTGGCTACCTTTTTGTGTGGCTACATGACCTTTGTGCACACATTGTAGAGATAGAAATACTACCCTTCTGCTTTTACATGGCCACCAGTCCCTCTTGGATTAAATTACCACCCTGATGACCCCTTTTAACCTAAATTACCCCCAGAGAGGCTTTGTCACCAATTGTAGTCATGTTGGGATTTATGTTTTCAACACATGGATTTGGTGAGGATGCAATTTATTCCACACAATATGTATGCTGTGTTTAAAGGAATGTGATACATGATGCTCTGTTTAAAGGAATGTGATACATGAAAGTCTGTTCATGCAAAATTATAAATCATTCACCTTATAAAAGGGGAAAGAAACTACAATGCAATCCCTATTATTTGCCAGGTATTTTTTACAGTGCAGCACACTTTAATGATAACTTTTAGGTAGTTGTACTCCTATTTTACAAATGTGAATATTGAGGTCAGAGAGAACTGTGAAGATGAAATTTCAAATTTAAGAAACTCCATTCTTAAAGTTCTCATTATGTTGCACTAGAAGCGTTTGTTTGTGTTACTGTTAATCACAATTATTAACTTGACTGTATTAAGAGATGCCTAGCAGAGTAGTAAAGCAAACTTCCTGATTTGTTTGGTTGAGCTATGGGGGTGTGACTTTGGGGACTATGTCTGGTTCTTACTCTTTTCCCCTTAGATGCGCTTTTGAACCGGCTCTGCTTCCCAGCCACCATGAGCATTTTTCCTCCACCACGGCCTTCAGCCATGATGGTTCTTTGTGCCTTGCAGCCAGCCAACCATGAACAGGATTGCCTGAAGCCATGAGCCAGATTAAATCTCTCCTGCTTCAGATTGTGAGCATCTGGCATGTCTTAGTGATAGAAATGCCGACTGATACTTTTTAAAGTGATTCCTGGGGCTGAGGGTCTAGCTCAGTGGTAGAACACCTGCCTGGCCAGTGCAAGGTCTTGAGTTTGATTCCTGGCACCACATAAAGATAAAATAAAAGTGATCCCTGTAACCAGTACGATCTTATAAAGATGGTCTGCACTGCAGGATTTTTCATGTTTATGATAGTGCAAGTGATACACATTTAGTAGAAACCATACTTCCAATTATGAATTTTGAAATTTTCCTGGGCTAACAATATGTGATTCAGTATTCGCTGGAGCTGCTGAGAAGCAGCAGCAAGTCTTAGCTCTGTCAGCCACATGATCAAAATAAATAGTAATTTATAGTGTGCTGTGTCGGTAATTTATGATATTTGTCAGATTAGCTGTGTTAAGTGCATTTTTAAACTTTAAGTATTTTCAATTTAAAATGAGTTGACAGGGTGTATTGTACTTCAATGCTCTTATATTTATAGAGTCACATTGGCCGCTATATTTAGAATACAGACTAAAGTAGAGGGAAGGAGGTCTCTCCTGAAGTAATTCAGAGATGATAGTGATTTGGATCAGCAGCGTTTGTGGAATTGTTGAGAAGTTGAAGCCTGGTTATTTTTAAAAGTTACACAACAGGATTTAACAATGAATGGGATGTAAATTTAAGAAAAATCGAGCAGCTGGGGTGACCCCAAGATTTGGCTTGAACAACAGGAAAGATGAGGAATCCATTAAATCAGACGAAGAAGAGAGTGGATGGCATATGCTTGAAAGAGAAGATCATGAATTCATTTTGGGACATGCAATGTTTGTGATGCTTATTAAATATCCCAGCTAGAAATGTCAAATAGGCAGTTGTCTTATCCATCCGGACTTTAAGAGTGATTCAAGTGGGGGATTGAAATTTGAAAGTCACCAACATAGAAATGTAAATTAATGAAACTAAAGCAATGAAACTAAATGCTATCACAAAGAAATTAAGTAGAAAGGAGAAGTGGTCCAAGGACTGTGCCTTGAGCCTTTCCAGTGCTTAACAGTCCCTGAGGAGGGACCCCAAAATCCAAAAGGGATTCCACGTTACAGGTTTGACCCATGTTTTTAAGAAGCATTGATATCTTACATTGCATTTTGAACTTTTTTTCATTGCAACTCCTCCCAGTTATGCCCATTCATCAAAGCTTTGTTTTACTATCACAGCATTTACCAGCTGCTCTTGAGAGGAAAAGGGTACTGTATCCCAACTGTGGGACAATGCAAAGTGGAGAAAACTGGTACAACATTGTGACCATTTGTCACAATTGACAACTTGATGGGATTTAAAAAATCAAGCAGATTGGTAAGGCACATTTCTGGATGTGTTTGTGGTGGTGCTTCAACATGTATTTATACCAAGTATGACTCTCCAGGGAGCTTCCAGTCTCAGCCCGGTGCTGCATCCTTGATCCCTTTTGTTCTGTGGCTTCCAGCTTCTTTGAGCAACTTCTGTATCCTGTGGCTCCTCAACGTGCAGATGGTCCTTGTGGACTATCCCATCTCTGATCCTGTCAGCCTATCTAATAAACCCCCTTGCATAAATATAAAATATTTCCCCCTCTTATTGATTCTGTTTCTCTAGAGAACCCTAACCATATAAGCATAGAAGGATTACAAGATTACCTAAAAAAATTAGAGATGCCTCCAAGCAGTTTATAGAAATGCACATCAGCTGGACACGGAGGCAAGTTTCAGGAATCTCCCACGTGGGGAAGGGCTTGCTAAAGTATTTTATTTGGAGATTTAATTTTTGAAAAGTGGCTAGTGTGAAAAAGTAGTATTAAAATTTTGTTTGTAAGGAAGTGTGTTTTAGATTATTTTCTGGTTTGTCAGATTCATCTTAACAGTTTAAGAATGAAAAGTATAATTTACCTGAGAGATTTTACATTTTCTAGTGAATTGCTGGTTGTACTGTTCTTGTTTAGCACCCTCCCTCCCTCACCTCCACATTACGCCCAAGAGAAATTTCTTTACATTTTCTTTGAGTTAGTCTAGGGTCTTGATTATAAGAGATAGAACTTCATCTTGCTATAAAAGAAAAAAAATCCCATGAAGTAGTCCTTCATATAACCATATTGTGAAATGGCAGTAGTAGAGTCAGCCTGGGCATGACTTACTCACCACTGCAGTAGGATCAGGTCTCGAGATTCAGACAGACAGTCATGGAACAGATTGTTCCTCATTGGTGGAGTGTATGTTTGTGTGGGGAAGGAGCTTATGAACAAGAGAAATGAAACCAGTGAAAAACTGTCCAGAGTTTTTCTTCAGTTGTATTGTCTTGGGCCACAGGTATTTGAGAGAAGAAATTACTAAAGACCAAGGAGTTGTGTCTTCAATTTATTCTTTGGAATCTATAATTGCAATATCATCTGAGGTTATTTCTCATACATTGCACAATATACACACATATTTAGAAAATTTACAAAAATGTTCTTTCAAAATTGTGCTCCAATATTCTACTTTACTGGCCACACATAAAAAATATACCTCAATTGCACCTTTCTCTTATTTTTTGTATCATCTTACTGACACTTGTTTATGTATAGAACTAAGGACATTATTTTACTGCAGTCACCTTTCCAAAAAGGATATAAAGTTTGGAAGTACACTTTGCATCAAGAGTACTTCATATTTGTAAGCATTGAAACATATTCCCTCTCCAATCTTGTAGTTGTGGTTTGCTTTTTTTTTTTTGAGACAGGATCTCACTGTGTAGCCCATGTAGGCCTTGAACTTGTGGCCATCCTCCTGCCTCAGCTTCCTGAGTATTGGGATTATAGGTACATGCCACTGTACCTGGTTTTCTTACTGTTTTTAAGGTGAAGGCCTCAATTTCCTGTTGAACTACTGATGCAGTGTTGAGTAGGCATATTTGGTCCCACTGCCACTGTAAGCAAATGTTTTGTTTTTGATCATAAATCATTTCATCAGTCAAGTATTTCCTGAACATTCAGGGACATTCAGGGATCCACTCCCCTGCAGGTGTTCTCGTCTCTGGACCTGTGAGTGACTTACAGTGATTGTCTGGATTTTGAAACAGAGCAACCTCAAATATCTTATATATACAACTCTTAAAACCAACAACTGTCTTCCAGAACTCTGGATTTTCCCTAGTGTATATGGTGTGAGTACTGGTGGCATAACTGCATCATTGGCATCTCAGAGTGGGACAGGTTTAGAGTGGAGTCACAACTTAGTTTAGGAGGTTCTCTTCTCATGAGATCATCGTAGGAAGAAGGACGACAGGAATGCAGAGGCAGAGCTGACGGAATCTCATAAAATTAATAACCAAGGCTGCATGTCAGGCGCCATGCTGCTACTCCTCAGCACAGATATTTTTAACTCCCTTGGCTCCTTCTCTTCTGCAATGCAATTCAGTGCTGGTGAATCTTCCTGCCCCTTAACTGCTTTCTGCAGACTCTGGCCTTTTCCATTATCTGCTCCACAGCTTGCTCACTCAAGGATTTATACGGTGACGGAAGCGAGAATGTGATTGTATGTTTAGTCCATTAAATTTACCGTTATGACAGGAGCCAGAAGAGGAAGGAAAAAGAGAAAAAAAACAGAGACCAGAAGTACAGCTTTGTCATCCATAAGCTTGGGGCCACTGATAGTTATGAAAAGAGATTTCTGTTTGTTTGCCTTGTTTTTATTTATTTATTTATTTATTTATTTTTTGAGACATGGTCTTGCTCTGTAGCTCAGCTGGCCTTGAACTCACTATGTAGCCCAGGCTGGCCTCAAACTCACGGCAATCCTCCTGCCTCAGCCTCCTGAGTGCTGGGATTACAGGTGTGCACCACCACACCTGGCTGAAAAGAGATTTCTGAACAGCAGCTTGATGCAGATGAAGGAGTGTTCAACTTGATGTTTAAAGACCTAAAGTCCTGGCCTTGATCTGTCACTTTTAACTAGATGAACAGAGCTGAACAAGTCAACTCTTTCTGAGTTTTAGTTTGCTCGTGTGTAAATGAGGAAAACAACACCTAAATTACCCACCAAAGAATGTTATGGCCATTAAATGAGGCAATGTGCCTGGTCTGTGTAAACTTATAAGTTGTTTCATGTATTAGAAATAAGATAGGTGAGAGAAAAATTGTTTCTGCGATTTAAAGTTGCTAACAAAATGTCAGGAAAATTTGGATGTATAAACTAAACATGGTCGATTTACTTCTCCATCTGTTCATTAAGTTGCGACCCTGAGTGATGATGTCAGTTTTCCTTTCACAGTGCTCTAAGCTTCAGCACTTAGGAGTCCGTGAGGACAGTCTGTGATGTAACGCCAGGTCCTGAAGGCAGGTTGGAATCTCACGTGGAAGACAAATACAGTTCATATTAATGGCAAGGAGAATGCTGGCTATTGGTACAAGAGAAAGGTCACTGACCAAAATGAAAGAAATATTAAAGGAAAGCTTCCGTGGCAATAACTTCCCGCAGAAAACTTGATCCGACCTTCAACGGCTGGGTAAACTACTTTCATCTTTGAGATGTACTGAGAAACCACGTTGATATCTTGGTCACCTGGAAAAATGCACACATTTAATTTTAGCTACAGCAAAAGTAATTATCAATTAAAAGGAAGTGGGGAGAGGATAATGTATTTCTCTGAAGCCTTTTGTCATTTTAAAGGGAAAGCATTTCTTTTTATTCCAGGGATAAAGTGTCACAGAAGACAAGAACACTGGTGATCGTAAGTAGAAAGCATTTTTTTTTTGCCTTTTCATGTTCCAGATGTGAAACATGCCTGTTGTTCATTATTGGGTAACTGGAACAAAGTTATTTGTCTTACGTCTGAAAATGTCTCCATAGAGGATGTTAACATCATAGACTTTGACCCACTCCAGAGCCAAGGGCATTAGGGAACTGGGTCAGGAGCAATTAGTTAAGAAATAAAAGTGGCTTCTTTTGCTTGCCTGCACAAAGTTATTCCCACTTAATTAATGGTAGGACAGTGGAGCCTTTGTTCCCGAAAGAGAGGAGTGCTGACAAAGAACTGCTTGCCCATAGCTATATCAAACTCATGGAGACCCAACAGAATTTATAAGTGTTACTCCAGTATTTAACTCTCTGCAGTGATCTCACCATTGGGTGTGCATTAGAATTATAAGAATAGGCTTAGCCCAAACCTTGTTAAATTACAATCTCTTGCACTAGGTCCTTCATGTGATAGTGCTGTTTTCCAGTGACAAAACAGCAGGGAGTTAGCAGCATAGGGCTCCCCATGTTTTCTGGCGGAGGCACTGTTATTTAATTTCATGTACTCTCTGTGATTTCAGTTTGTAGCCAAGAGTTCAGAGCTTTCAGTCTTGGTTCCTCAGCTTTCTGCATGAGTCACTTCTCTCTAATATCCATCAGTGTGGCTTGAGTAATGCACAGTTCCAGCCTTTTTGTCACATGTGCAGCTTTTAAGCCTGCTCTTCCACCTTCTCTCATGGGATGCACAGAAGTGCTCAGTGCTTTTCCTCCCAGGGCTCCCTCCTTTGGCCTGGTTCTGCCCTTCACCCTCCTTGGAATAAGCAGCTAAAATGGCAGGCCCACTGTTACAAGGCTGGAGGAACCTGTTGAGCTTCCAGAGATTCAGCGAAGCTGTGTGTGCATCTATCCTGCGAGCTGCCGCTTTCTGTTCTAGGGAGAGGAAGAGGTGTGTGTTCCATACCAGTGGACTTTACACACGTGAGGCGGCTCTCAACTGGATTTCCAAAAGGGAGGTTGGTATGGAAGGAAACTCAATGCTGCTGAAAACTTCGACTGATAATCAGTTGTGGTTGTTCCTGTAATTAGCTCTACCATCCCACTGTACTGAAAGGACACTCTTGATGACCTACTCATACTAAAAGCTTCAAGAAAGCAAATTTAGATTATTTAATATGATGGTTTTCCATTCCAATCTGAAGTGTCTGAGGTGTGATTTTTCTGCAAATGTAAACAGCCAGGCATGGTAGTACATCCCTGTAATCCCAGCACTCAGGCTGAGACAGGAGGATTGCCAAGAGTTCAAGGCCAGCGTGGGCTACATTGTGAGTTCAAGGCCAGCTAGAACTGCATAGCAAGACCTGTCTCAAAAGAAAAAAGAAAGAAAGAAAAAAAACCCAAACCCTCACATTTCACAATTTAAATAGCTGCTTAGGTATAAACTAAAAAGATTTTAAAACATTTCTGATTTAAAGGTGGGTTTTTATTGAGATGGTGGTGTATGCTCTGCAACCCAGCTACTTGGGAGGCTGAGGCAGGGGAATCACAAGTTTGAGACAAGTCTGGGCAACTTAATGAGACTCTGTCTCAAAACTGAGAAGTAAAAAGGGCTGGGGGATGTTGCTCAGTGGTAGAATGCTTGCCTGACATCCATGAGGCTCTGAGTTCAACTCCCTGTACCCCCATTAAAGTTGGATTTTCTCTGGGGTTGGATGGATGGATGGGTACGTATCCTGGGAGAGTGGCAGGGTACTATTCCTCAATGTAACGTTGCTGTTTTCCAACAAGCAAAGCGGTAGGAAGTCAGCAACAGAACTCGCTCTGGTTTTCTGACTTTGCTCTCTTGACACCCTCTTAGCCCAGCTCTGTTTCTAAGTACTTTTGGGATAGGCAGAGGAACAGACACGTGTGCTTACCAGAGTCGTGTTTTAATAATCCATTTTTTATCATCTGGAATCCATCTCCACCATTGGCCAGATAGCTTGGAAGGATCACCTTATATATCCTATGCATTTCGAGAGGCTCATAAACGGGCACTCGACACTTGGTGCAAAGAACATGTAACTGGACCACTCTGTCCCATGGTCTTCGGGAAAGATCGTACACCACATGGATTCCTAGAAAAGAAACGGCTCTATATTTTCACTAGATCCAAAGGAAGTCCTGTTGCCAAGACGTGGAATTGAGATACTAGGCTTGGTTGTCCAAGTTTGAGTTTGAATGAAATTTCATCAGAGGAGTAGAGGTGACCCTGCCATTGCTCTTGGTTAGCTTTTTCCTCCAACATTCCAGGAAATGTGAGAACCACCTGAAGGAAAGCTGGACCTGGATTTGCAAAGGAAAAGTACTGCCCCTCTTTTAAAGCCTTCAGTTAACTGGTCCAGTAACTTGATGTCATGGCTTTGGAAAAGAGAAATAGGAGAGGCACAGTGCATTTGTAACAATTTAAATTAAATATAATTTGTGGTAGGCTGACTCAGAAAGCATGCAGCTACCCAAAAGTTGGCTAGAATATCAAAATACTGCTCTTTCTTCAGCTCCCTCTTGAGAAAACGCTGGGTGTCAGGGTTACCCCAGAGGCAGCAGCCGGGGCCCCATGCTGTCACTGCTCACTCCCAACAACTGTGTTCTGCAAAGGGAGGACCTGCCAAAGCTGTCACACCCAAATGTGGATGTGCCCACGATCTACTGTCAAAAAGTGAGACCGCCATATGGTTTTAGAGTGAAGTAAGATTATTAAGGATTAATTCACTGGATTGTGGAATTAATTTTTTTTTTTTAATTTTGAGAGGCCCTTAGCAATATGCCAAATACTTGTTTGCATTCAATCTTCACTGTAACCTAAGAGATAATCAGGACAGGGTTTCCCATCACACACGTTGAGAACTTGCCCCCAGACAGTGGGACATAGAATGAGCTGTTTGAGGCTGTCTGTGCAGCAGGCTGCCTCTCCCCAAATCATCCTTTATCAATATTGATTGGGCACTGTGTTTCTTTCAATCTGGGTATGGTTCCAAGGCAATCAATGAACAGAACTCTTTTTTTTAAACACACCAAGTGCTTAAACAACTAAGATCTTAGTAGAACTCAAGGCAGCTGAATTGCTTAGTGTTTAGAGGACCAGCTCCTTTGAAGGGCCCATCTGATGCCAAATCAGATTTAGCAAATATTGTTCCTTGCCACGGGCTCCTCGCTTTGACCCCAACCTGATTCCAGTGGCTCTGGAGTCAGTAGCCACTGGAAGTTGGGTAGATGAGTGACTTACCGCCCACCTGCAGGAATTCTCCAGTGGACTGGCCATAGCGATGTACACTGTGCTCGAAAGCCTGCTTCAGGATGGAACCATTTAATTGGACCAGGTCAAACGTGCCTCCAAAGGGCAACACAGCAGCCAGGTTCTCCCAGGTAATGGTGCCTGAGGGTAGCCACAGATAAGGCAAGAAGGAAGAGAGACCAGGTCAGTTCCCTCAGAGTGAGGGGAGGTGGTGAAGGGGTCAGAGAGGCTGCACAGCAGCATCCTCTGTGTCTAGTGAGTGAACTTCGAGAATGCATTGAGAATGTGGGCGTGGCTCGTCAGCACTTGGCAGTGGTGAGAGGATGGAGCTCAGCAATGGCTTTCGTGCAGTCAGCCTCTAATGTTCCAGCTTGGAGCTGGACCCTCAGTAGGAAAAGCACTGCTCAGTTCTCTCAGACAGTGTCTTCCTGCCACCTGTCCCTTGGAGGCTGAACTTGGAGGCTTACTCATACTGATGGATTTGACCATATTTCAGACAGGGCTACAAGAATGTCTCAGATGTCTGTCTAGTAGATTTGTTGTACCATATGATAGATCTGTTCAGTAGCTTTTTTTTTAACCATATGATATAATCTTGGGTAGCTATACATGTACTAAAATAACAATTTAATCCAGTGATATCTTTTTCTAGCACACAAGGTTGGTGGTTTTGTCTTTCTCTTTTCAGATGGATGCCAAGGTTGACACTGCCAATATTTTGCATAAATCGGGAGCAGTAGTTAGCTTTGAAAGTCAGAAATTTAGACCAAGCTCACATTCTGTTGGCCCTAGTGGCTGCTTCCCTGTGTGACTCCATGAGAATGCATGTGTGTGTCCTTTGGGACGGGCATTGAACTTCACTAACAGCTAACCCCAACCTAAAGGACTGACGCTTTGGCACATGGCTGGCAGCAGAGATGATTAGAAGCTGCCTATGGAGATGGAGTCCAGGGAGAGGGAAGGCGGGTCAGAGAGGACACGACTGAGGACGCAGGGCTGGGGAGCATACCGTTGTTCCGCTCATCTATGGGTGATCGGATGCCGCCTCCATTTATAATGCACATGGACACGTGGCTCCAAAACATTTCATCTGGATGTCTCAGGTTGTTGTTAATCTGCAACAGTAGCACAGATTTGCATGCGTTATTCTAGGTCTTCTTCACTGGGAGCAATTCCAGGATTCTACTTATCTCTTCCTCTGCTGCTGTATTCCTAGAGATTTCTCCACCATAGTCAGAACTAGTTTTATGCTCCATGAGTCAAAAAACATTTATTACTTTATTTATCTTCTACTAGTCTATTTACCTTCTACTAGTTGGAAGCACAAATTATGATACTGTGACCAGGTCCTGTTTCAGGCCCTTAGAGACAAAGAGCTCTGTATACCCTCTCCTGAATCCCCTGTTCTTTGGGCTAGTGGGCCTTAGCAAAACTGTCTCGCAGAATCTGGTCCTCACATCAAGACTGGAAGCCGGCATGGGGTGCCCTGCAGTGCTGTCCCACAGAGGCTCCTTGTGCGCAGCATCAGACCTCATGCCAACCCGAACCAGTCTCCTTGTCTGTGTTCCCCAGGCAGCTCCCAAGTTGGCAATTTTGGGGGTACAGAGATAGCCTCTTGAAAATGGGGAGAATCAGGTTCATTCTTACTTTTCTTTTAATTACAATAATGCGTCTAATTATAAGACATAAAATAAATACATTGTCTTTGTTTAGAAAAATAGCACAAAAAGTAACAGTTCTATATTTGCCCTGCTTTAACAGAGAAGTGTACACTGCTGACTGGGTTTCTTTCTAGACCTTGCTCTGGACGTGTACATACTGACTTCTCTTTGACTACTTCTTCCACACTCCCTGCACGATGCTGAGGTGTCAGCATGGGCCTCCTCTTGGAAAGCATGACTTTCCAAGCATGACTTTCCTCATCTTGGAAAGTCATTTACTTGGCCAATGTTTATTGAATGTGACTTTATTCCAGGTACCACATGTCCAGCATGTGGGTGTGGACAATGAACCCATAGGACGGCATGTTTGACCTGGTTCAGCCTGGTCCCCAGAGAATAACCACGGAGATCTGCGCCAGGTAAGTGCTCCTCATGGGTTATCTAGCTCTGGTCAGGGACTTCTTATAGTAATGGAGTGCCAGCATTCTATGCTGGGGAAAGTGGCCCAGTTTCACAAGGGCAAAGTTCCCTGGGGACAAGTGGGCAGACGGGGGAAGACCAGTCTGGCCAAGTTAGATCTCAACAGATGTGTTTCATCTACCTGCAGTGTGGCAGAGTTTGTGTCTTTGGATCATTTACCTACAAAATTCAGACATCCAACAAGTATACCTTAAAGGTTTAGCTCTTATACAGCAATAAAGTGAGGGTCAGTCAATATAGTTCAGGCACCATGCCAGGCTGCTTGGTAAAAAAATCAGGCAAGTTTTGGTCTGGGCACAAAATTTGTAAAAGTCCTCAATTTTTTGCTGCTCTGTTTGCCCCCTTGTAATGATGAATTGATTGTGTTGACTTGAGAAGTTTAGAAGCTTAACTAAATTGGCTAAGCAATTCTACATCATAGGGTATAGAAGACCCATCCCAGGCTGGCTTGCCACCTGGATGGTATAAAGGGGAAATGAGGAAGGCTAGATCTGCTTCTGTTCTTCGGAGGAGTTCCAGTCTTTGCCTTCAGCTTGGATGTTGTCTCCTGGCTTTCCAGAGCAGACTCTTTGGCTTCTGCTGTGGATCCTTCGACCTTCTGGCATAGATTCTTCAGCCTTCCACCACAGACCCATCGGCCTGGTACGGATTTGCCCAGACACTGCAGTGAGCTCCAGACCTCAGACTGAAACCTTCAGTCTCCAGTGCACAGACACCCTCTGCATGCTTCCTCATCTGACTCTGGCTGACTGATCTGTGTTACACCTATTTCTCTAGTAAACACTGACTGATACACCAGCCATTCTCCGTCTTCCTTCCCTCTTCCTAGGCAGACCCTTGGCTCCTGCAGGTGACTTACCGCAGCGTCACAGATCAGGTTGCCAAGGTTGCATTCCATAAAGCGGCATGACTGGGTGGAGCCATTCAGATAGACAAGTGTTCTCCCCAGTTCCTGAGTAGAATAATTAGCCAACTGTATCCTCCATTGGTTAATGTCTGCTTTTATGTTTGGATCTAGGAGGAAAAGAAGGAAAGAATTGAGAAGGGGAAAAAGGAGGGATAGAGAGGGAAAGACTTTAGCTCAGGCAGATCTCATTACGCTAAATTCTAGAGAAGGACTCACACATGAACTAGCTTACCTGTCATAAGTACACATTTCTTTCTGACACCTGTATCATTTTTGTTTCATCCATGAAATTTCATTAGGGATTTCTCTTTGTTTCCTGGCAGTAAGACTTGGGCTGGTTCTTAATGTAAGGGTATGCTGAACATCTTAACATCAACTTACCAGGCCCGGGTGAGCACCTGTCAGCTTGCTTGAGATGGCGCTGCTGGGGGCGGGGGTCTCTGAAAGGCGCCGGGAGCGCACAAAGGGCCTGTTGAAGGGTGTGTGCAGTCCTGGGCCCCGACCTCACTGGCTATAGAGAGGCTGTGTTAATTACAGCCTTCCTGGCTCTGTGGCACCTCAGTGCCCATCCTTCCTGTGCTGATCATGGCAAACAGGGCAGGTGTAGCGAGACAAGCACAGGAGTGTGTTCACACATATGATGAAAACGGCCATGTAGTTTTACTCTGAGTCCCAGCAAAATGTAGGCGAAGTATTCTATCTGGGGAATAAAGAAACTGAGGCACCTGCCCATGACATACTGGCCCTGCAGGGGGATGCTGTTCTGCCCAGTTTAAACCCCCGTATTTCGATGATCAGCTCTCCTCCGCACATGGGCCAGGAGTAGCACTGGCATGTCAGGATCGTGCTTCTAAAAGGCAAGAATGGCAGTGATGTATAGTCCCGTGTTAAGAGGAGACGGAGGGCTGGGGATATAGCTCAGTGGCACAGGCGCCTGCCTGGCAAGCGCAAGGTCCTGAGTTCAATTCCCAGCACACACACAAAAAAGAAGCAAATGGGGATTTTGGCAGTTGGGAGTTTTAAATTTCCTTATCAATGAAGAGAAAAACTAAATACTTCACAAGTATTACAGTTTAAAAAAACATTTAAAAACAGAGGGTAAGGAAAGGAAAAGATAGCCACCTAAGTTTTGAATAGTGGAAAAGTCACCTGTCACATACCTTCAGGAATGCTGGCATTTAGAAGAATGGGATTCCCGGATGAAGTGACGACATTTCCTTTTTCATCAAACTCAACCTTCAGATAGCCTAGGTACTTGCCAAAAGCATAGGCCTGGACCACAGGCACCTTCCGCCCATCATCAGAGGTGACTATGAATGGATACTTCCCAGCAGGCACCTCTTTGGAAGGTGGTTTGCCTGAAATTAAAAACCCTGAACTGATCAAGTCAGCCTTTATACAGGGCTGGCGGCAGGCCCGCAGGCCCCTGGCTGGGTGACACCGAGTTTTAAACTGATGATTTGCCAGCTGCTTCTCTACATAGCTGGTCTTTCAGAGCCCTGCCTGGGCATTTGCTTCTGTTTCCGAATGCCGTTTTGGCGCATGAATCCTTCCATTCTCAGCTCAGTAGGCATTTACTAAGCGTTGCCTAAGTCCAGGGCATTATGCCTGGTGCTGGGCACACAAAGATGAAACATTGCTCAGATTATCCTGTCTTCACCCTGCCTCTGGCTTCGTCCCCTAGCTGGGTGGGTTAGCAAAGCCACTTTGCTTTACTGTACTTCAGTTTCCTTGCCTGTAAAATGGACAAAATAGTAATTCCCATTCCACAGGGCTGTTGAGACAATTAAACATCTAAGCTTCTTAACACAGTGCCTGGTAGGCATAGTAGGTACACAATAAATGTATACTTTTTTTGGTATAAGACGGTGGTTATCTTTAGACATACACTCAAGAGCTTAGCATCACCAATGGAAGGTGAGCAAAAATGACACAGATCTGGCCTTGGGCTTTGCTGCTAAATTCTCTATTGTGTTAGGTGCCTTTGGGAAGAGCCACATTCACCACAGGGCTCACCAGCATGCCCGCTACCCTCCCCCACCACGTTCTGCAGGCCTCTGTCTCCAAGGGGGCCCTAAGGAGGGCCTGGGAGCTACTCATCACCAAGCAGCTTCCTACACACGTGCTTGCTGGAGGGCAGGAGTGCGGCTGTACTGGGAATGCGGGGCCTGGCATCTTACCACTTGGCTTATTTAAGTTCCACGCCTACTGCGGTTCACGGTTTATCTCCATAGAGACAATGATATAGTTTGGGCTGTTTGGAACCAGAGACTCTACAACATTAGACTACATCACTGCTGTTCCTGCCTTTTAAATGCTCCGGGACAAAAGCACACAGGCTCTGTGAGGAACGAACAGTTTAAATTAGAGAAGCATGTTGTGTATGGCTGTTGTCTTTCCCTTCTCCCCAAGAAAACTGCCCAGACTTGAGACAGCTCCTTGCCCAAAGTGCTTTTCTTCTGCTTTTTTTCTCTTTCACTGATATCCTAAATAAAAGCCTGAGAGTTCGAGGCCTCTCCTGAGAGTCTCCATAACTCTGGGCGTTCTCAGTTGACACAGCCCCTCTGCGCCTTCTTGGTGACTGTACTATGATTTATCTTTCAGCAATCATTTATGTGCTCCATGCCACCATGGTCATACACTGTCACCGCTTGTCACCTCCATCACCACAGCCCCGATTACTTCTTCCTACTGGATGTTTGCAGAGGGCTCAGGAAGCTTCAGCACAAGTTAGCTATACACACAAACCAGCTCTGAGAGGTGGCCATGCGTCTGGACTGGGAGCTTAGTCCTCCAAGCTTCCCATGAGGCAGGACTTATTATTAACCATACTTTATAGAGCACAGAAGACTGATCACCTTAGGCAAAGTGCCCAAGGTCACAGAGCTGGTACCCCTTGGGGAGCAGTAACATGCTGGATCTTGTGTGCATCCCCTCTCCATCACCTGTAGCCTACTGTGTGTTATTCTCAGAAAGTCTGCAGGCTGCTTCCCAAAGGCCACTTAAAAAAATCGAATGCATGCTGAGTGTGGAACTTTCAGTCTCAAGCTCTTCCTGGGCTTCTCTCCACCCGTTCTTACCACGTTCTTACACCAAAAGTGACCTCCTCCCCAGCACAAGGACCACAGGACACAAGTACTGCAAATACCAGCACTGAACAGCAGCCCACAGATGTTGCTAACGTTAATGTCCTGCTTTCTGGCATGCTCTCAAAGAAAGGCAGGTGTAGAGCTTCCTCAGAGCTCGGCTATGACAGTAGCAGATGACCTCACGCATGGTAGAGCAGCAGGTAAGATGGACACAACGTTCTTTCTTGTTCTGCTCTGAGCTGGTTCTCCCTTGGGCAAGGCTGGCGCCTGTTTTTCACTTCTGGGGCCTCAGGGGTTACAGGAGTCCCCTCTCAGCATCCTCTCAGCATGTTCCTCATCTGACCTCAGATATTTGGGAAAGTGCAGTTCCCCCAACCTTCCACGGGATGGCGGAGAACCACACCCTATCCAGGAGGGAAAAAAACACCAATGTCGCAGAAATCAGGAGTCTGGCAGTTTCTTAGAAACGCAAGAGAATTGCGTGTCTGGCTTTTAAAAGCCCTTTCCCCCTTCTGTACAAATATCTGCATTTGAACAGAATGTAAAAATTGGAGGAAAATGACCAGTGAAATGTCTCACAACTTAGTATGCACTCTGCAAAGGGGAGTGAGCAAATCCAGCTCCTGTCTGACGGAATATTTTCTAGTTTGGAAAGTCCGCGATGTTCCTTGTATTAGAACAAAACATGTGTCATCAGCATTTTAAATGGATTAAATCAGGAACAAGAAGGACGCTTCTGATGTCCCTGAGGCAACGGCAGGACTCAGTTGGCTAATACTTGCCTCCTTCCCACTGAGTCCGCTCTACACCCCCTTTCCGTTTGACAATCCCAGAAAAACACTGGCAGAGAAAGCAACCCAGGGCTTCACGTTTTCCGTACCATCCCACGCTGGCCAGCCAAAGACTGTTAGCCTCAAAACACCCTTTCTACACAGAGGCGCACCTTTGTCTCTAGGTGCCTGACTCATCACCTGGGCAGGACGGAAACTGTCCGTCAGACTCTGTTCCGGTCATCGAGCCAACAACCCCTTCAGGAACCAAACCTGGGGGCGGGGAAGCTGCAGCCAAGCACTGACATCTGGAGTTGGTAAGTCAGGCTCTTCACAGCACTGTGCTGGTGTCTGGGGAAATCTCATAAGGAACGTGGTGATCTCAGCTGTGGGTCGGAACGACTGTCCTCCCAGCATCACACGGTGAAAGGTACTGGGGAGAAGGCTTAACTATAGCGGTTTCAGCTGGATGAATTGGAGAATGTTTTGACTTATATGGGAGCCAGTTTGAGAACTTCAGAGCTGGGGTCTCTCTTAAAGGACTTTCCAATAATCCCAAACGGCTTTCCAGTGAAAGTCCAAGAAATGAGATCCTCTGGGGAAGCACATCGAGCAGAAAAACTAAGAAGGCACAGTCTTCCGTCCTGGGAAGCAGTTAGCACCTTGTGGTGTGCGTGGCCTTACTTAGGATTTTACGTTGGTCATTAGCTTTCTCGTACTCACCTCTGCCAAGGGATCCTGCTGTTTGTTTCACAGTCATTCTTTTCTCATTTCGGTACTGGATTAGTCCCTTTGCCTTTGCTGGGACACAGTACCTGCCCCACCAGCTTAACAGAGGACAAGCTGAATTTGCTCACAGTAAACCTGTACTCTGGGGGCTCCAAGGCAGAGACCTCATGGTGCAGGGTGCGGAAGAGCAGCGCTGCTTGTTCATGGCCACTGGGACGTGGAGTGGGGAAAGGGCCGGAGAACTAACAGAGATCATGATCCGCATGGGAATCTGCTTTACTGGTCTGCTAGGCATTTCTCGACCCAGTCAAGTTAACATTGTGGGGATTAATGGCCACAGGTAGTCTCATTTCACCTTGGAAGGCAGCTTCATGACACGTAGCCAAAACTAAGCAGTGTTGTGAGGCTGCAAAAGTCACTAATCAGAAAGCTCTGTTCTTTTGAGACAGGGCCTCACTGTATTGTCCCAGGCTGGCCTTGAAATTGTGATTCTTCTGCTCCTGCTCCCTCAGTCCTGCTCCTAGAGGCGTTTGCCATCACACTTGGGTCTTGGCTGTGCTCTGTAAAGGAGGCAGGGGCCGAGGCTCCGCCATAGCTGGAAGTTTACTGAAAGGATCCAAGCTGGTGACCACGGGGTCTGACCGCCGCCAGCCCAGGCTAACCAGAGATCATATGAAGCCTGTTCCATCCTGCTACGCTTTTACTCCTGCGAAGATGTCAGGCTGTGGGTTAATGAGGCCCAGGAGCCATGGCTGCACCCACAATCCCATCATTCCTCAGCCTGCTCTCCACAGGCAAACGCTGCGCCCTGTGCATTCCCAAGCTTGTCCCCGGCAGGCAGCCACAGCTCCTTTCCACTGAACTCCCCTCCAAAAGTCCCATTTTGTCCTTTTCCTTTCACAGCCCTCCATCAGGCTCACAGCCCTGTAAAAGACCCTGCAGCCTGTATGAGAGCTGCCAGTCTGGTCTAAGTGTCGGGGGATCCCTCCAGATTTGTTTGAAATAAACCTGTCCTATTGAGCATGGACCTTTGTTTTTTTTCTCCTTTTTTCATAACAGTAACACTGGGAAAAGCAAGTTTCTGTGCTTACCGTGTTCTAAAAGACCAAGGGAGCCAGATGTGGTGGTGCATGCCTGGTATCCTAGGTACTTGGGAAACTGAGGCAGGAAGGTTTTAAGTCTGAGGCCAGTCTTGGAAACTTAGCAAGATAGTCTCAAAATACCTTTTGTTTTGCTTTGTGTTTTGAGACAGGGTTTCCCTATGAAGTTCAGGCTGGTCTTGAACTCACTATGTAGTCCATGCTCAATTTGAACTTGCAGCGATCCTCCTGCCTCAGCCTCACAAGTGCTGGGATTACACGTTTGCGCCAGCATTTTCAGCTTCAAAATAACATCTTTTTAAAACGGGAAGGACATCATCTTTGAAACTACTAGGCTACTAGCTATACGTCTGTCCTTTGGCTGATTATTCAGGTCACTCACTAAATCACAGATGTCAACAGCTCTTAAGGAGTATCCCAAGGAAACAGTGTCTTGGAGACTGTTTCTCTGTCCACGGATATGGACAATGCTAAGATGGCTTTCTCGTTCTGAAAGGCAGGATCATCTAAACTGCAGCATGTTGCAGACGAGGGAAGAGAGGAGCAAAGACTGCAGAGGACCTCACGGGGTTTTTGCCCTTGATGCTCCCTGCTTAACTCAGCCCCGATGCTTCCACGGCGGCCCACTGTGCACCTACCATTCCATCGTGAACCCCATTTTCCTCCCTCCCTCCCTTCCTTCCTTTCTCCTTCCTCCCTCCCCCTT